TTATCGTATATCTTTATAAAGAGTTATATATATACGTTATTTACTTACTTATTTTAAGCGGTAGATTATATAACGTAATTTATTATCTTCTTATTCTTCTTTAAAGGTTTAATAGTAATTAAAGCTCTAGTAAACTATAATATAGTATTACTTATTTACTTCTTTAACTTTAGCTTAATTTATAAGTTAAGAGGCTTTTTAGTAAGCTCTTTAAGGTTTTTTATAACGCTATTATCTTTTAGGTTAGGATTTAACTTAATTTAAGATAATTATTAATTAAGGTTAAAGACGTTATTTTATTTAACGTTTGAAAGGTAACTATTATCTTATACTATATAAATTAGTTTATATATAAGTTTAGTTTTATTTATACCTAAGCTACTAGTTATAAGAACTTAATTACTCTTAGTATTATAAAGAGCTATAAAAAGGTTTATAATCTTAGCTTATACTTATTATCTTATTATTTCTTACTTAAGAGCAGAACATTAATAAGAAAACTATATTTTCAATTTTCAAAAAAGCTTAAATAATTAATAATAAATCTAATAAAATACTTGAATTATAATAAAAAATACATAAATTAGCTAATATTATAAACAATCAGCTCACATAACTTATAAGTATAAATGCCGCTATATAGTATTTACTAGAACGTTTATATTAACGTTTAAGGCTATTTAAACTATAGTATATTAAGTCTTATTAGTAAAGGTTCTTAAGGGTAGGTATAGTCTTAGTAGATATTCTATAATTTCTAAATTAATACTTTTATAGTTTAAATTTAAAAGGTTATTATAACCTATAAAATTAGCGAAAGAATCTCTCTTATTAGACTTAACCTTAAGGGTAAAAGATTACTTATTAGGTTATTTTAAGAGGCGTGAAATTAAGAAGAACCACTTTATAATATTATTCTCCTTATTTTTTAATTAAAGAAGAAACTTATTTAAGGTAATAATAATAGCTTAATAATAAGAGGTTAAAGCTAAAGCTTTTTACTATTTCTTATTCTTAGTAAATAAATAAGTCTTAAAGGGAATAGTATACTAAGAATAAATAATACTCTTATAATAATAGTATATATACTTAATATTAATAAGCTTATTAGCTTTCTTATTCTATTAATTAATAACTATAAGGGAATAACTATAAGGGCTATATTAGTCTTAATAAAGTTAGGTATAATAAAGTATCTTATCTTTAATTTTAATTAAACTTCTTTTAATTTAAGAAATATAACTTTAAGGGTATTAATATTATTTTAAGTGTATATAATACGGGTAATAACGTGCGCGTTATTTAAGGGTATTTAAATCTTTAAAATACGCTTAATAATATTACTATAATAAATTTAAAAATGTAAATCTATCTAGTTAATTATATACTTACCTAATTAAAGTTATACTAGCACGTGTAATCCTATAGTAAAACCTTAATTAACCTTATAAATAGTTTTTAAAGGGGTTTAAGAGAAAGCTTTATTATTTAAAAGGAAAAGTATTATATTTAATTAACTATAATAAATTAAATAATAAAGCTTAGCTATACTTATAGCTTATAACTTAGGTTTTTATTCTTATCCTTTAAATAAATTAAAAAGTTTAACTTTTAGCTTATATATTTTCTTCTTAATATACTAGGGTTTAAAAGTAAAAGCTATTAAACTTTTCTTAAAACTAATTATAGTTTTAAAGCTAATTCTATTATTAAAACTAAAAGTATTCTTAAAATTAAATATAGTATTATTTTTCTTTTTATTCTTAATATTAATTTTCTTTACTTTAAAAGATTCTTTATAAATATTTTTTTAAGTAATAATACTATTAAAATTAGATTTCTTTATATACTTACTATTATACTTAAATTACCTATTATTATTTAACTAGTATAATTAAATATTAAAGAACTAGTCTATTAATTCTCTTAAAATACTAGAGTAATTTAATAAGTAAATTTAAACTATATACTTCTTTAAGCTTAATATAAGTATAAGAAAGGTTAAATTATTTACTATAACGTATCTTAAGTAAATATAATAGTTTCTCTTTATACTTTATTTATAAATAATTACGCTTACTTAATTAATAAAGAAGTTATTATTATTAATACATTAAAAATTAACTAACGTATAATTAAAGTTACTATTAGCTTAAATCTTAATAATATTAAGTAATTTACTAGCCGTAAAATAATTAGGGATTATAAGCGGTAATTAATATTTAATACTAATCTCCGTTATAAAGAGAGCGTAAAAGAGATTATCGCTAAAAGTAAGCTTAATAATATAATTATTTATAAAGGTCTTAGTAAAGTTACGTTAAGCTAGTAAAGTAACGTCTTAATAAGAAAACTTTATCTTATTCTTTAACGTACGTAATATAACTATAATTAAGCGAGAACCTAAAGGTAGCTATTAAGCTATTATCTTATTTATATACTAGAAAATAAAGGTATAATATACTTGTATAATATAAGAAAGAATATAAGAAAGGGTATAATATAAGGGAGATAAAAAGTTAATATCTTTTAAAAAGGTAAGCGTGTATTATTTTATTCTTATTTACTATTATATTTTATATAATAGCTAATAGCGTTAATAAATAACTAATAGCCAGAGCATTAACAAAAAAACTACACTACATGTAGTTTTTTAGTGTAGTTTTTAGTGTAGTTTAATTTAAGAAATATAACTTTAAGAGTATTAATATTATCTTAGGTATATATAATATAGGTAATAATATACGCGTTATTTAAGAGTATTTAAATCTCTAGAATACGCTTAATAGTATTATTATAGCGAATTTAAAAATGTAAATCTATTTAATTAGCTATATACTTACTTAATTAAAGTTATACTAGCACGTATAATTCTATAATAAAACCTTAATTAACCTTATAAATAGTTTTTAAAGGGGTTTAAGAGAAAGCTTTACTATTTAAAAGGAAAAGTATTATATTTAATTAATTATAATAGATTAAATAATAAAGCTTAATTATACTCACTACACTACACTATAAAAACTATAAGATGTAGTTTTTACAGTTCTGGGCTTATAAGAGCTTATAAGGACCCACTTTTTTATGTTAGCTTATAGTAGAAGATTTATACTATTTATCCGTAAAACTTATAATCTTATAAGTATTTTATTAGATTTAATA